AGGTCTCCCCTCAGCCTCCTTTTCTCCAGGCTGAACAGTCCCAGTTCCCTCAGCCGCTCCTCATAAGACTTGTTCTCCAGACCCCTCACCAGCCTCGTTGCCCTTCTCTGGACACGCTCCAGCACCTCGACGTCCTTCTTGTAGTGAGGGGCCCAAAACTGAACACAGTGTTCGAGGTGCGAATACTCGATGAGTATTTTCCCCCCATGAAAAGGTAAACGGAGGCTCAGAAAGTATTTTGCAGACTGCTGGGGAGCGGGTCGTGCTCCTCCTCTTGTACCCCCCCCCCCAGGGTAGCGCCTCTGGTCCTCGCAGCGTGGGAGATGCAGGTGGCCACTGGCTTTTGCTCCGTCATCATGAAATCCCCCCCGTCTTTACGTGGTCCGTGGAGATGGGCGTTGCAGGAGATGCAGATGTTGGCTGGGAGGTGTTTAACCCCAACATCTGGGGAGCGCGGTGGGGTGCTCTGCCCCGCGGGGCGCTGCCGGCTCTTCAAACCCCTCCTGTTACAGTGGTGAAAAGGGACCTGCAAAGTGGCCCGGGGTGGCCCGGGGAAACCTTCGAGGGGTGGCCGGGGGACTGCGAGGAGCCGTCCCTGCAGGAGTTTTTTGGCTTTTGGTGATTTCTCTTGCAGCACCTCCTGAGCCTCTTGTCTGCAAACAGATCTCAAGGGGGGGTGGTGAGAGGGGGGGGGGGGGGGGGAGAAGGAAAAAAAAAAGCAAGCGCACTGGCAGACCACAGCGGAGTTAGTGTAGGACCTACCCAAATGTTGTGCTGGAGCAGCTGGAGGCTGGCAGCCCGTGGAGGCAGCGCGTAAGGGGGTTTAGGGAGATGCTTGTAGGGGGGGGAAAGTGGGACTGTGTGAACCCACCGTCCCTGGAAATGTGGGGAGGATGGCCCTGGCAGCACCGCAGCAGACCCTGGGGATTTTCAGGGCTGGGTCACAGCTGTGCCAAGCCTCCTGCCTTGCCCAAGGAGGGGGTGGCAGGGCATCACCCCGCTGCCGTTGGGTGGCAGATCTGCACCCAAAAAAAAAGGGCTGAGGAAGGAGCCGTACGCCGCAGAGGGGCTGCCTTGCCCAAGGAGGGGGTGGCAGGGCATCACCCCGCTGCCGTTGGGTGGCAGATCTGCACCCAAAAAAAAAGGGCTGAGGAAGGAGCCGTACGCCGCAGAGGGGCTGCGAGGGCGAGAGGGGCTGGGACCCACCGGCGGTGCGGAATCAAGCCGAGACAGGAGGGTGGTTTTCTCGTGGCGGCTTTGTCTGGGGGACAGCGATTAAACAAAAACAAACAAACAAACAAGAAATCTCGGCTGTTGTTATTTATTTTTAGTCGTGCTAATTTTTTCCGAGGCTGGGAAGCTGCTTTCCAAGGCAGGTCCCTGGAGGATGCGGGCAGCAGGTCTCGAGCTAGCACACAAAATGGCTTTGAACAGGGAGGAGGAGATGGGAGTTAAAAGCCGAGTCGTGTCCCTGGTAAATCAATCGACCTGACGGGGAATGTTTCTAGCAGGCCACCAGTCCTGCCGAGAGCTTTTAGCGGCTTGCAGGAGTGATTGAACCAGGAGCGGTGATATTTTTCGGCAGCCCTTTCGTGCATGGCCAGCGCCGGTCCCCAAATTGCTGCTGGGGGACGATGCTGGGTCCCCTGAACCGCTCCGGTGGCAGCTCAGGAGGCGGGGACCTCTCCTGCAAGCCCTGGGATTTGGGGACTTGAATCCCAAGGGTTTTTCTGGGATGTGGGGCTTAGAAAAGCCTCCGCGGCTGGGCACTGCTCGCCCAAGCTGCGCAGTGATGCTCGACGGAGGATGAGACCTTTGTTTCGGGGAAAATGAGATGCTTTTGGAGCTGTGTTCGGTCGGCAGGGGGGAAAGCCGCGAGAAACCCACAGTCAGGAGCTGGTGGTGGGTTTTGCAGCAAAATCCCTCCGTGGTAAGGGCAGCTCCGTGGCTTATCAGGTGGATCAGGTGCTGTCTCCCCGTCTGACGGCCCCTCGCCTGGAAACCGGGTCCTGGCACATGGGTAGAGGCGGTGTTGTGACTCAGAGCTCCAATCAATGTTAATTAATTCAATGATAATGAATGAGAGGGGGAGAGAGAGAGAGAGAGAGAAGAAAAAACACTGCGGGATATTAAATGCACCAGGCTTGGCTTTGGGACATCTGGCTTGGGGTTGGCTTGGGAAGTTTTGGTCAAGAGCAGCTTTCCGGGAGGAGAGGGCTGCAGCAGGGGTGACTTCTTTCCTCTGCTCTTCATTTTTACCCTCAAAATCGCCCTGACTCTACATCTGGTTTCTCTCGGAGAATCGTCTCCCAAGTCTCCATCTCTGGGTCCATTCTGAGGCTTTTTTAAAACATTTTTTCCTGATTTACTGATGGAATAGCAGCATTTCATCCCTCCGGAGAAGGCCGTTTTGCTTTGTAGTTACTCTGTTTTCTGCACCCTGCAGTTTGTGTCCCCTGGAAGCTCAGTCTTGCTCTCCCTCTCCTATTTCTCCACAAATAGCCGATGAAAGCAGCGTCTAATGGTGTGTTTTATACTTGTGTCTTTATTTGCAGACACCTGCCAAGACGTCCTCTCTTCCAGTTACCCCCAGGGTGAGGTGGTCACCTTCTCCTGAGCCCCGGCTGGATGCAGGCAGCGCCCCGGCGAGGGATGCCTTCCCCGAGGGATGCTCTCCCCGAGGCGGAGGGATGTGTGCCCCGAGGGATGCTTTCCCCAAGGTGGAGGGATGCTGTCCCTGAGGCTAAGGGATGCTTTCCCCAAGGGATGTGTTCCCCAAGGCCAATGGATGCTCTCCCCAAGGCTCAGGGATGCTCTCCCTGAGGCCAAGGGATGCTCTTCCTAAGGCTGAGCGATGCATTCCCCGAGGGATGCTCTCCCCAAAGCGCAGGGAGGCTCTCCCCGAGGCCAAGGGATGCATTCCCCAAGGGAGACGCTCTCCCCGAGGCCAAGGGATGCATTCCCCAAGGGAGATGCTCTCCCCGAGGCCAAGGGATGCCTGTGACAAGGTTTGGGCTTTCTAGCGAACTGGCCATTCTCCTGCTCGCACAGTGCTGATTAAGGATGCTGACACTGTGATGTTCTGGCAGTAAAGGGCACGTGCACCACACAGGGGGGGCGGGGGGGGGGGGGGGGGGTTGGCAGCCGGGTCCCCCCCAGAGAGGTGCCGCAGGGCAGCGGGGCCGGGAGGGGAAGTCGGGGTGCCAAGGGCGGCCCCGCTCCCCCGCCTGCTGCCAGCCCTGCCACGTACACGCTGCCCGGCTCCCCAGCGCACCCCTGGGCTGCCCCCCTCCCCTCGCCCACGCTTTCGGATGCACCTAGCCCCTCCGCCTCCAGAGACTCGCCAGCTGCTCACCCGAGACATCGCCGCCCGCGACTGCATCCGTGCTCTGACCGCCTCCATCGTCAAACGGCTACTGGGGACCCTTCTCCAGGGTTTCGAAGGCTCCGTTCGAGGTGCCGCGAGCGGGTTGCTGCACCATCATCCCCCTTCTCATGGGTGCTTACCCCGGGGTGCAGACCCTGAGCGGATGGGGGTGGGGGGGGAACGAGCGGGTCGGTTCGGGCGCAGGGACGGGGACGGGAAGCAATAGGTGAATGAGGTGGGGTGAACCTGGCTGGCCTGGAAGGGTCAGTGTCTTTCTAACGCTGTTACATATCTCTGTGATCAAGGCAATACTACTCCCATTTCTGTCTGTCCTGTACGCATGCCTCTACCTGTCCAACCGTACTAGAGTTCGAATAAAGACATCCGTGAGCTGAGTCAGCTCCCGTACCCCTCCTGCCTCGGTATTTCCTCATCGCCGCCTGCCTGCTTGCCCACAAAGCCCTGTCCTGACCCCGCGCGTCCCTGGCAGAGGGGACGGTGATTTCAACAGCAGCGTTGCCTGGGTGTTGTGGCCAAGCTTCTTGCTTTCTCGCACGGCTTGGATGAGAGCCCACTGGAAAGCCCACGGCAGACTGGTTTCAACATCCACACGATATTCATTTGTTGAAGGAAAGGCACTGCAGAGCTGACAAATGCATTGGCTCTGCCTGCTTTATCAAAGATAAAATAATCAGCATTATGGCCACACCGGTGCCATCCTTAGGTTTCAGAGTGAACACCGCATTGAGGTGAATGGGCTGGTCCTCCCCGAGCTGTCTGGGCAGCCTGGCCGCAGAGCCGGGCAGATGGCACTAGGCTGATTCATGGGTTTAGGGCTGAATATTTCACACCCTTCTGGGGCTGGGGTGCTCTCAGTGTCACCTTTTGACCGGCTCCAAAGGAGGTTTAAACCCCCTGCACCCCCCGAGGCGCAGCGTGAGCCCCCGGAGAGCCGAAGAGACCTGGCACCACTCTGATCACTGCTGCAGTGAGTTGGAGGGGCCTCAGCTGACACCTCCAGGATGGAGATTTTGGGGCTCTACCTGTTGACAACCCACCCCGGGGACATGAGCTCTTTTATTTGAGACCAGTGCGGGGAGAGGCTGGGGGGGGGGGGGGGGGGGGAAAAAAAAAGCTGCCACGAAATTGAAAAGAAAGCAGTCACAAATGTGAGCAATCCGTGGCCGGGGGCCAAAGAGCGATTAAAGCGAGAGCCTTCCTCCGAGGCCGGGAGCGAGATGCTCCGCTTCCCGCTGCGGCCGCAGAGAGCCCTTGCGAGAGCCCCGCGGTGCTGCTGGGTCCCTGGTGGTGCTGAATGCCATGGCCCTTCTCCGACGTGGCCGTGGTCACGGACTGATCATCGGATCGATACTGAGTGCTTGGGCTGGCTGATCAGGGATGCTCGTTCAAGCGATGCCGGGCACCTGCATCCCCCCGGGGTCCTGCTCCCGCAGCGTTTGGGGACCGCGAGCGCTCGGAGCATCTTGGCGGTGCTTGAGGGTGACCTCAAGGGGACCGGCGCAGTCTGAGGTGGGTTTAGGGACAGGGTGGTCACGTTGTGGGTGGTTGGTCCAAAGCTGGCTGGAGATGTCCCCTGTAGCGTCCCTCAGCAGCAAGACAAGGTCCCTTCTCCATCCTGGACAAAACCTCTTCCCATCACCGTTCTGTACCGCATCGGCCATTTGCAACCTGTTCCCCACTAACCCCTGTGCAAAAAATTAATCAGGAAGAACAAACCGGTGACTCAGGGACCGAGCGTGTCCCCAGGGACCCCCCAGCTCTCCAGGCTGCCCCTCTCCTTCCTCCTCCCTCCTTGGCTGTTGGCTCGGTGAGAGAGGTAAGTCCCTCTACACCCGACCCCGGGGCTATAGGATGAGCGTATCATGCCCCCAGCCTAGATTTGGGGCAGGGAGATGGGTGTGAAGTGGTGCCAAGCTTTTCTGAGCCTGCACGAAGGTGGACGTGAGCCATCAGCCAGGTAAGGTCCTTCACCGCAGGACACCCTGGGGGTGTCTGAGTGCAGGAGGTGGTGGTGCAGGGCTGGCGCAGGGCTTCCTTAGCTCTTGCTCTGGATGCTCCATCGTGCCTGGGGCCGTGCGCCGGGCCGCGCAGCTCACGGCTGTGAGCACCCCGACTGCCCGACGGACCGCAGAGACACAGGAGGGTCGTGGTGGGTCGCGGGATGGAGATGGGAGAGGCTGGACCCGAGGGCAAAACCCTCTTGGGGGGAGCACTGGGACCAGCTATGGAGGAGCAACAGCTCCCGGAGGGAGCAGAAAGCCCAAAGGGGAGCAGAAAGGATGGTTTATTGATTCTGCTTGTGGCCCTGCCCCGGGGACCACAAACATGTGCCACTTCAGCCGTCCCCACGAGGAATTCAAACCATTTTTGGACCCGCTCATCCGGCTCCCCAGCGGGCAGTGGGATGCTCCCAGCGTTCCCCATATCCCCACGGAGCAGCCCATCCCTGCCGGCGGGCGATCCCAGCCGAGCCCGACAATTCCGGCAGCCCCAGCCCAGGGCCAGCAGGGATTTCGTTAGTGCCGCTGCTTGTTTCTTGCCGCAAGGCTTGGATTCGGGCGCTTTTGGCACGACTCCCCTCCTGGCCCATGTTTCTTGTCTTTCCATCCCTCTGGGTATAAATCCAGCACCAGCCAAGCAGGACAAGGGGCACAAGGGATGGGGATGGAGCCTGGCACACCCTTACACCCCCCAATTTCTTTTCCCAAATAAAAATCACCCTTTCCCCCATCTCCAGGAGCATTTTTGACTCTTTTTTCCTTTATTTTTGAAGCCAAGGAAAGACCACGCGGGGAGGGAGGCACACATGGCACCTGAGGACACGCAGCGGGGCCGGCAGGCTGGGATGCAGCAGAGAGGGAACATGGGCAGAAAGACCCGATATGGGGTGGGGACAGGGGACGGGGGACGGGACAGTGACAGCATCCCTGGCCTCGGGGCCGGAATTAGCCATCGGGTGCACTTAAAGGAATTTTAATCAGCGAAAGGTGGTGCTGTCAATAAAAACAAGTGAGAGGCTCCGTGGCGCCGCGCCAAGGCGATGAGCGCATGATTTTTAATCTAGGAAAGTAGCTGCCGGGAGGGGAACGGCCACGCAGCCGGGCAGCGGCTCCCGGGGAGCTGGGATGCAGCAGAGAGGGAACATGGGCAGAAAGACCCGATATGGGGTGGGGACAGGGGACGGGGGACGGGACAGTGACAGCATCCCTGGCCTCGGGGCCGGAATTAGCCATCGGGTGCACTTAAAGGAATTTTAATCAGCGAAAGGTGGTGCTGTCAATAAAAACAAGTGAGAGGCTCCGTGGCGCCGCGCCAAGGCGCATGACGCATGATTTTTAATCTAGGAAAGTAGCTGCCGGGAGGGGACGCAGCCGGGCAGCGGCTCCCGGGGAGCTGCATCCATGCCAGGGAGAACTGAGGGGCCGGAGAGGGGCTTCCCACCCGGAGCCAGGCCACCCTTTGGGGTGCCGTTGCAGGGGGAGGTGGTGGGGAAAGGGATGGAGGGTCTGGTCATTGCGTGGGGATGTTGGGTTTCTCTGCAGCTGGTTTGCTCGGGGACTGTTCTCCCGTGCCTCAGTTTCCCCTTTCCTAAGTGAAGATGCTTAATCACCCCTTTAAGACAGGCAGATTTGCTGGGTGGGGGTATAAAAAGAGGGACTGCTTGCAGGGTGCTGGATGAAGGCAGCAACGGGCTGTGGGACAAGCCCAGAGCAAAGCCCAGGAGAAGGGCAGCGGGAGCTGAGCATCCCTGCCGTGAGCAGATAAGCAGGGCTGAGCCAGCTCTGGGCAAGGATGAGTTTCCAGAGCTTCATGCTGCATCTTCATCTTGGGGACAAGAGCAGCTGGAGCCACGGCCGCTGCGCTGAGCATCGGTCTGCCCGCCAGGCCCGTTCGAACCAAGCCATTGCTGTAATCCAGCAGCAGGCAGCTCTTCTTTAAGGGATTTCGAGCGGGGAGACAGCTCGACGTGAGCAGACCCGCGCGTGCTTCTCGGCCGGCTGGAAGTCGCCTGCTAAAATCAACACTACCCTGAGCCCACGGGGGAAGAGCTCTCCCCGCTGCCCCTGCATTTCTCTTGCGGTGACCTGAGCAGGGTGACAGCTCTCTGACGGCCACGCAGGCACCGAGATTTGGGAAACCTGAAATGCTGGCACCAGCTCACGTCCCCATCAGGTGCATACGAGCCCGGCAGCGATGCTCGCTGCCTCTCTTAAACCCCCACAAGCAGT